CAGGCCTGAAGCAGTGCAGGAGTCAGCTCCAAATCAGGTCTGGCGGTTGCCAGATAAAACAGGCCTAAAAGTTAATTCTTTAGAGTGTGCTCTGTTCCTCCCTGAGATCTCTGGCCAGGTGAAGGACCTTCACATAATTTACACCCCTTACCCTTTATCATTAAGGCACTTGCCCTTATCTTCTTTCTCTTTTGTTTATACTAGTCTCCTCTCAGACCCATGTAAATCAGTGTATTCCTGTCACTTGTTTTCTTAAAAGCATCTATTCTCTGTGAAACTTAACATACTAATGTAACGAGATTACGTATGCATTCCTGTTACTAGCCCCACTGATAAGATTTTCAATAAAAGCCTTGGAACAAAGGGCAACAGGGCCTTCTCCACCAGAGGGATGTGCCACGGCCTTCTCCGGTGAGAGGGAAGTGCCCCGTCTGCTCTCCCGGCAAACAGAGAAATGTTTGCAACGATTTGTGTTTATCCCCCTCATCTGTGACAACCCGGGGAGGGCTCTGCGGGATTCAGAGCCCTGCTCCCACCTCAGCTGGCCCCAGCCGGTTTCCCTCAGGTTCAGGGAGCTCCATGCTCTCTGTGCGGAGGTCCCCCGCGGCGACACCCCCATCTAGCTGCCGCGCAGTGCGGCTTACACCACTATCAAATCACACATGGTTATTAACTAAACACCAAAAAACTACAAAAGTTAAAATCAAAATAAGATCATTATTTAATATGACAGGTGATTTTTGGATGAAACAAAATCACTTGCAACATGATTTTCTCTTGCGCTGGGCATCCAGTATCACCACTTGCTGAGCTGTGACTGAATTCTCCTATAATTTTCCTTTTCCTTGTTTTTTTCATTCCTACAAGGTGTCATATGACTAACACATGGTGCTACTGCATTGTTTTCATATTGTATGCTTCTGTTAATGTTTCATTAGATAGCAACAACTTGGCATTTTGGTACCAACAAGAGCAAGCACAAGTGAACCCATGATACTGAAATTGTGTTTATAACAAGATCATACAGTTGACCTAGAATTGTGATGTCCAATATGGCAGCCACTAGCCACATGTGGCTACTGAGCACTTGAAATGTGCCTAGTTCAAATTGAGCTATAGATTTAAAATAACTTCACATCATATTTTGATGACTTAGAATGAAAAAAAGTAAAATATCTCATTTTAAAATTTTTAACTGATTCCTTGTTAAAAAATCACATTGTTTCAGATATACAGTATTAGGTTAAATAAAATATATTATCAAGATTAATTTCATCAGGGATTTTTGTTTATTTTTGCTTTAAAAAATACATGTACTAGAAAATTTAAATCATACATTATATTTCTATTAGACCACACAGTCTAAAATAATTGTGTGTGAGAGAAAGTATGTGTTACAAACTGAAAACACCATATAAAAAATTCTCATAGAAAACACTTTGGTATCCAACACACATAGATTTGGTTTCCAGTTTAAACCACTGCTTTAGCATTTAATGGCTATGTTCTTTCTTATAAGCCAAAGGTACCAAACCAACATAGGACTTTCCTTGTGGCTCTCAATCCAGTATCCTAGTGATATGTCTCTGTGGTTTTCCTACATGGCTTCCTTGTAAAAGTGTTTGGCGAAGTATCCAGGCACTTCCATTCCTTCCTGAAAATATATACTGCTGTATCTGGTTATTTCACTGCCATTTAATGAAAGTTTGTTCTCACCTGGGGAAACCCATCGGGCTGGGAGGGGTGGGGCAGGGAGAAAGAGAGAGAGAGAGAAAGTACTCTCTGGGCAAACAGATGCAACTACTTCCCAAGCCACACAAAACTTCTGAAGTTAAGGGACCTTGTCAGTTTAAAAATATTGGTCTAAAATAATATTTAGCCAAATATCCAATTGCATTCATTTAGCAAATATTTGCTGAATATCTATTCTGACAAGACCAGGCACATTCAGGATGGTATGGCCGTAGACTGAAGATCTGTTTTGATACAAGACCACATAGTAGACACAGGCAAAATATAAACATAAACAGGGATTTCTTTCAGGAAGCTGGTCATCGTTTAGAGGTGATAAGACATGTCAAAATTTCTTCCTTTTTAAATAGCAAATGTTGATTGAATGTATCTACATTCTAAGAACTAAGTGAGTTCTTTACCTTTCACTTAATCCTCACAACACTATGAGATTGCCCCCCTTCATTTTACAGATGAGAAAACTGAAGCAAAATGTTATGAAAATAATCAAGGTCATATAGTTATTAAGTAGCACTAGCAGGATTCAGTCCAGACCATCACCTCTAAAATATGAGCTTCTTAGTGACTATTCTATCTTGCTTCTCTTTTTTAAAAAAAGTTTGAAAATAATATGGATATTTGCTTATTAGAGAAAAATTGGAACAGTAAAAAAAGTAGAAGAGAACATATACCTTCAAATTCCTACCACCTAACACAACAGCTGTTTATATGTAAGTACCACTTTTTAAAAACTGGAACTATAATTATATATTGTAAGAAGGATATGGATAAAGGGCTACAGAGGAAGAAAAGAGGATTTCAGGCTTGATCTTAAAGGACAGAATATGATGTGGATGCTGAGGCATTCCAGGGAGAAAGAATTGCAAGGACGGGAGCAGGGACTCAGCGAGGTCCAGGGGAAAGAGCCCAAGTATTACTGCCTTGAGCAACAAAGCTAGAAAACCAGAAAACTAAAGGCCAAGTCATAAAAAGCCCAGAATTGTTCTGCCTTTTATCTTATCAGTACTGGTAATACTGTACTAATTACCACTTATTTCTGTATCAATCTCTTCTAATAGATTGGGATTTCCAGTATATATACCCCTTCGTTCATTCAATGAGCACTTATTGAGTCATTTCTGTGTGTTAGGCACTACGCTGAGCACTGGGCATGACAAATGAACAGTCTACATCTCTGTCCCACAAAAGAATTTACAGTCTAGTGGGAAAGAAAATGTAAGATAGTTCTGGTGGAAATATGAACAGTGTGGATTATTGTCACTTGCCACCAAAAATACCTAGCTGAAGTAGACTATTACCACAAATTCAGCCACGGCCTCCTCTTCTCTGTACCCCAACTCCTACCATATAGAAGCCAGAACACAGGAGTAACAAAGATATTCTTGAATAAATAAAATCACTGTGATCAATGAGGAATCTGGTAGGATGGACCAGAGAGAATTAAGATAAGTAAGTAAGTAAGATAATGACTAAAAAATGCCCATAGGATTTATAAACTAAGACACTAGAGAGCTTGGTGAGACAAGTTTTGTGGGAGGGTAGACAGGGTGCAGAATCTGGACTTAGGGGTATTGAAGAAAAAAGGCTTGGTGATGTTATGGAGACTGAATAAAGACTATTATTGGACCAGAGGCCCTTTTGAGTTGTTGGATGGTTCTTTTGCAGGCCTGAGCTAACTTGAAAGTATGATAAAATACATTTGTTTCAAATGGCCAATAAGCACAGAAAACGATTCTCAGCATCAGCCAACAAGGAAATACAAATCGAAATCACAGTGAGATACCACTTCATACCCACTAGGATGGCTGTAATAAAAAAGATAGACAATGGCAAATGTTATTGAGAATGAGAACACATTTAAACCCTTGACATTTGCCAGTGGGAATATAAAATGGTACAGCTTATTTGGAAAGGTCTGACAGTTCCTCAAAAAGTTACCATATAAGTGTGGCGAGGAAAAAATATTTTACTTCTACATTTCTAAATTCTTCTGACAGGACTAATAATCTAACGAGACAGAGTAACAGGAGACAATGATCAAAATTATTATGTATGCACATATAAGGATTCCCTATGAATATAGGACTGGTGGACAGATTGGCAGTTAAGGCTTATATGCCCTCTAGAGCTAAAAGAAGGGGATGGGTGAAGGTTGATGAAAAAACAAATGCCTGGTAAATAAACGTAACAATGGGACACAGAGAGGAATTTGATCAGAGGGTCTTACTAGGTTCCTCCCTGTCTGTCATACTTAATTCATATTAAGCTTTAGTTACATATGGGAATAACTCCCTTTCTTGAGCAGATCCTCTATCTAACTTATTTTAGGGGCAATTAGAGGTTCTTTCTGAGTCTTTTGTTTCTTGAAAATAAATAGCTAAAAAAAAAATCAATATCCCAAAAGGGATATTTTGGGATGGCAAACTCTGCTTCCCCTCATGAACTAGCCACTCTTAGATATACGAGTATACTCAAGAAAATTAATTTGTTAACATAAAACCGGGTAATGTTCCTAGTAACATATTGATAATAGCTAAAAAGTAGAAAAGGAAATGTCCAACAGTAGATGAATGGATAAACAAAGTAAGGTATATTCATACAATTAAATATTATTCATCTATAAAGAGGAATGAAGTACTGACATATGTTACAAAATAGATGAATCTTGGAAACATTATATATGGTTCCATTTATATCAAATGTCCAGTTTAGGCAAATGCATATAAAAAGAAGGTAGAGTAGTTGCTGCCAGGAGTTGAGAAGAAGGAGGACTACTAAAGGGTACCTCTTTCTTTTTGTGGTGAAACTCTTTTAGAATATGAAAATACTCTTAAATAGTCGTGAGGGTTGCACAGCTCTGTAAACATACGAGAAATCCCACTGGAGCATATATTTTAAAAGGGTGACTTTTGTGCTATGTGAATTACATCTCGACTTAAATATCAAATTAAATTTTTTTAAACTGCAGCGTTCATAGACGTCCCACGCTATTTAGGAAACGTAAACCAACACCAACACGCTGGGCCAAAAACTTCGCCAGACACTCCGCGGGGCCTAGGACCGCAATCCCACCCCGCCTCCCAGAGAAGGAAGTCCCGGCCTGTGGGATGGTGATTGGGTGAGTTGTAAAAGAGGGTGGGGCAAAAAGGGGCAAACTCAGTACTTTTCGGCTGGGGGGAGGGGCGGGGCTAAACGAAGCCTTTTCTCGCGAGATTATTCTGGTTCCGCATTTTGGCTCTGCTAGGTGGGGGAGGCGGGCAAGGTGGGCGCAGCCGTTTACGTTGGGTTATATCCGCTGGACCCCGGCTCGGAGCAACGGTGGCCAGTGCTTTCGCCTTCGGCGGTCTAAGGACTGTTCGCTACCTCTCAGTTCCCGTGCGGGCTCCGAAACCTGACCGCGGCAGGGGCCAGCGGCCCCTCCCCTCCCGTCTAAGGATAAAAGATGAGCTTCCTCTTGTGAGTGGGGTCCGACCGAGGGGTCCCGGGCTGCGCGTTGAGGGTGGAGGTCGGGGAGGGGCGAGCCGGCGGCTGAGGCGAGGGTCGGCTCCGGGGTGGAAGTGGCCGGCGCTTGCCTTGCCCCGGTTTGGGGTTGCAGGAGAGGCTAGGATGTGGGCCGAGGGTAGACAGAGATGAAAAGTCGACGCAAAGGAAACGGAGCGAGAAGGCCCCGAGGGCCGTTGCGCCTCCAAACTTTTCCGCCCCAACACCCCTGAGGGCGCGGGGACAACCTGGGGGGCGCAGCCACGGGCTCCCAGTTTCTCTCCAGTCTGGAGCCTTCTAGTAACGATTCCTGCTGACTTAGCCTTTTACTCCACCGTTTGTCCCGTTTTATTACCGTCAGTATTGTTACCCCCGCGGAAAAATGCCGCCCCAGGAAAACGTGGAGTGCTGCAGTTTGAGAAAGATTGCTTTAGCACCTTATTCATTCTTCTCAGGTAGCGCTCTCTACGTATTGCTTAAATATATGTTGTATGATTAAATAAATATCCATTTTCAGTTACGGACATTACCCTCATATTTGACATTTTTATTACATTTTAAAATTACATGTTTCATAACTAGAATTAGTATACCTAGTTCCTTATTGTGAGAAATCTGGGTTCTTTTGCTACTTATAAATTAGTACTACTGAAAATATCTTTGTCCAAATCGCTTTTTCCCTCCTTTTGATATTTTTTTTTTTTTTTAGGGTATAGGCTCCAAAATATGATTACCATGTCAAAAAGCCTGTATGATTTATATTTTAATTGCAAATGTCTATATTACTAGAATAATCTCTCCCGTCCCTCAAGTCTTTTTCTTATGAGTTAATGTTTATTTGGCGGTATGTTTGTGTATGCACGTTGCTTAGTTGCTCTTTGAACGTAAATGAGGCTGTATATTTCTTTTGAACTTTCTTTTGATAGATATTTGAGTTTCCACTTTTTGGGTTTTATGAATAATGCTGCTATGAACTTTTATGTACTACAGATTTTTTTGTATTGGTTATATTTGTTCATTTTTCTTGGGTATTACACCTAGGAGAGGAGTTGCTCAGTTACATGGTAACTGTTTAATCTTTTGAGGAACTGCCAAGCTTTTTCAAAGCACTGCACCATTTTGCATTCACACCAGCTTTGAATTTCATTTCCCCCACACTCTCACTAGCCCTTGTCTTTTGGATTCTAACCATCAGAAGTGGATGTAAAATGGCACAGTATCTCATTGTGATGCAAATTTGCATTTCCCTAATGACTAAGGAGGTGAAGTATCCTTTCACGTGCTTATTCGCCATTTGTATATATGTATTTTTTGGGGTAATGTTTATTCAGGTCTTCTGACCATTTAAAAAAATTTTGTTTTTAACTATGGTTGATAACCTTTGGCCATTTTTAATTTGGATTCTTTCTATTTCTGAGTTGCAAGAATTCTTTCTCTCTGATACAAGTCACTCTTACATCTATGATTTGCAAATATTTTCTCCCATTTTGTGGATTGTTTTCACTTGTCTTGATGGTGTCATTTGAATCACAAGTCAATTTAGACAAAGGTCATATTTAAATATTGAGCCGTTGGTTCGTGTTTTCCAGATTTAACTTCCTGTCATTCACAGCTTTCTATCTGTAAAAGGCCATTCCATCTCATTTAGTACTTCCCATTTAAATGTAGGCATTTACCATGTCAAAAACTGTCCATATTTGATTTTACTTTTATTTTATTTATTTATTTTTAGACAGAGGAGAAAGAGGGAGAGAGAGAGAAACATCAATGTTTGGTTGCCTCTCACGGGGTGTACTGAGGACCTGGCCTGCAACCCAGGCATTCACCCTGACTGGGAATTGAACCGACAACCCTTTGGTTTGCAGGCTGGCGCTCAATTTGCCACCACACAGGGCTGATTTTACTTTTTAATCAGTCTTATTTAAAATTTATATTACTCAGATGAAGTAAAGCCCACAGTCCTATTCTTTTCCCATTCTTTAAAGTAGTCACCAGTATCAATTTGACGTGTATCCTTTATGATACTTTCTGTGTATTTACAGAATGGACTCCTAAAGATGACAAGGTTAAGAAGTACAGTTGCAGTTACAGAATAATTGGGGATGTAAAGCATAGGGAGTAGAGTAGCCAAAGAACATATATGCATGATCCATAGACATGGACAAGGGGTGGGAGAGGGGCTAAGGGGGGAAAGTTAGGACAGCTGTAATAGCATAAACAATAAAATATAATTAAAAAGAAAAAACAAAGATGGGCTCCTGCTGTACATTTGGTTTTGTTTTAACCATGTCTTTGAGATCTTTTCATGTAAACACATGTAGCTCTATCTTGTCCTATCTTGTTTAACTACAATACTCCATGATGTGGATATATCATAGTTTATTTAGTCATTCTGATAAGTCTTAGGATTGTTTCCAAGGTTTTTCATTATTAAAAATAATCTTGGAAAACACATCCATACCCATATCTAAGGGAGATACTTAGAAGCGGAAGAGGTAAATGGAGGAGCATTTCATTTGTAACATATACTGCCATATTGTTCTCCCAGAAACACTTTACATTTTCACCACACTTCACGTTGATTGTTTTAACTTTTGACACTCAGTTAAGGAAGAATAAATCTTACTTTAATTAAACAGCTTTTCAGATTTCATTGATCATTGTATTTTTCCTTCTGTATTGCCTAGTCATTTCCTTAGCCCATTTGTCTTAACAGATTATAGAAGCCCATTATTATCCAGTTTATCCTTTGAAATACATGTTGCAAGTACTTTTTTTGTTATTTGTTTTTTGTTGTGTTTTTTCACTGAAGGTTGTATTTTTTTTAAGATTTTATTTTATTTTTAGAGGGGAAGGGAGGGAGAAAGAGAAAGAGAGAAACCTCACTGTACAAGAGATACATCAATTGGTTGCCTCTCACATGCCTCCAACTGGGGACCTGGCCAGCAGCCCAGGCTTGTACCCTGACTGGGAATTGAACCAGCGACCTTCTGGTTTGCAGGCTGGCGCTTAATCCACTAAGCCATACCAGCCAGGACTGTTACTGAAGTTTTAATTGTTAAGATTTGAAATCCATTCATATAAGGTTTCTGGGTTTCGTGACATGTTAAGAAGACCTTCTTTGTGGATGGTGTATACAGATAGGAATAAAGGTTTCTTTTTTTCCCCCCAATACCCAGTTGTCTCTGTCTCATTTTTCCTGCTAAAAACTTTTAAAAAAAAGTGTTACTTAGGCTGTGGTTTGCTTTGATGGCATCCTAGATATTTTGATATAAAAACTTTTTTTGAGCTATTGGAACCTTAGGGTTACTTCTGTCCCAGCACCATTTTGTGTAGGTAGAAATAGAAGCCAAAAGAAGGTTAGGTTTCTCAAGCAGTCACGGAGAGAGCTGCAGATCAAGGACTAAAATCCAGGTTTTTTCTTCTTTTGGTTCAAGTGCCCTTTTTATTATACCAATCTGCTTCATGAGGTGTAGTTAAATTGTCTTCTTTGTGAAATTGTGCTACTAATTCTGTTTCTACATGAGAAAAGAAATTTAAAGCATTCTTTTATTGTGATCAACTCTCCCTGCCCTCCAAATCCTGGCACTTTGCAGGGAGTATTTTTTTTAATTTTATTTTACAGAGAGTTTATATTATGCCATTAAAATTATGCCATTAAAATTATGCCATTCTGCTTCTAGTCCTAAAATTGATATACTTTTTCTTTTAACCTAACAGCAGCAGCCGCTCTTCTAAAACATTCAAACCAAAGAAGAATATCCCTGAAGGGTCTCATCAATATGAACTCTTAAAACATGCAGAAGCAACTCTAGGAAGTGGAAATCTGAGACAAGCTGTTATGTTGCCAGAGGGAGAGGATCTCAATGAATGGATTGCTGTTAACAGTAAGTTTTTAAAAACATTCAACTTTTCTGGCTTATAGGAAGGTTCTGCCAAAATCTTTTTGTAAATGAATTTTATTTTGTACATAAGAGTTGTAATATAATAGATTATCTGTAAGAAACATGTAAGTACATGGTTGTAGCTTTTGTGGTTGAATAGAGAGACTTAAAGAGAAATGATGAGTGTTTTGATGAGGTAATGATGAGGTAATTTCTGGGGAGCATGGAGCTGAGTAAGGGTAAATAAAAGATTGATAAGTGCAAAGATTCTACCTGTGGTGGAACATGACTTTGTAGGGAATCCATCTGTATAGTTGTGCTTCCACTCCCAGAAGCTCTCATCTGCCTACCACGTATACGGAAAAGTCGATCACAGTTCGTACCTTCAGTCACTTATTTGTTGGGATTTAAGAGCTGTCATAGGAATTTGAGAGATGGGAGACAATGGTGGGACCCACGACCTGAAAGTCACTCTTGAGTTCAAGAAAGTGAGGGCAAGGCATAGAAGAATATGCTGAGGCTAGAGATTTGAATGTTTACAGTGTATCATTTCTGGCCCTGGCCTAGTAGCTCAGTTGGTCATCATCATCAGATACACATCAAGGTTGTGGATTTAATCTCACGTCAGGGCACATACAAGAAGCAACCAGTGAATGCATAAATAAGTGGAACAACAAACAAATCTCTCTCTCCCTCTTTCTCTCATCTCCCTCCTTTTCTCCCCTTCTCTCTCTCTCTCTCTTCCTTTTCTCTCTCTCTAATACCAATAAATAAAAATATTTTTTAAAATCTTAAAAAAGAAGCCCTGGCTGGAATGGCTGAGTGGATTGAGCACCAGCCTGCATATCAAAAGGTCGCTGGTTCAATTACCAGTCAGGGCACAATCCAGGGTTGCGGTTCAGGTCTCCAGTTGGAGGCATGTAAGGGGTGACAGATCAATGCATCTCTTGCACACTGATATTTCTCTCTGTCTCCTTTTCCCTTCCCCTCTCTCTAAAAGTAAATAAATAAAGTCTTTCAAAATCTTTCAAAAAATAATGTAAGATACAAATGTAATTTAAATTTTCCTAGGAACCACATTAAGAAAAATTTTATTTTTCTCAACTCATTAAAATGCCATTATTCATATCACTAAAGAAAAAACGTGTAGAACTATGTAATATATTACTTTTTGTGTAAGTCAGGGCAAAGAAACTTACAGGGCACTTTTAAAGAAAAAAATTAATATAGTAGTTACGTGTGGGGGGATTTGTAGTAGTTAGAATTTAGATTATTTTCACTGTATATTTCTTTATTTCTTGATATGTGAGTCATGTGAAGTATTACATATTTAGAAAAGATGCCCCCTTTTTTAAACCTTATTCACATTATCATCTTTTATTCTGAAGGTTTTTGTTGGCCGTCTTCACGCCTAGATTTTTCTTTGTGACTTCGTGCTCCAGATGAGCTGTTTTCAATCCTTTTGGTCTCAGGATCCCTTTATTCTTTTAAAAATGATTGAGAACCCCAGCCCTGGCTGGTGTGGCTCAGTGTGTTGAGCACCAGCCTGTGAACCGAGGGGTCACTTGTTCTGTTCCAGGTCAGGGTGCATGCGTCAGTTGTCGCCAGGTTTCTGGTTGGGGGTGTGCAAGAGGCAGCCAGTTGGTGTTTCTCTCCCTCTCTTCCTCCCTTCTTGTCTCTCTAAAAATAAATAAAATTTTTATAAAACATTATTCAGAACTCCAAAGAGCTTTTAATTGTATAGGTTATATCTAGTGATACTTATTGTGTTAGAAATTTTAAATATTGCTCATTTTTAGATTCATCTAAAAATAATAATAAACCCATTGGATAGTGATATAATATTTTAATAAAAATGACTTTTTCAAAATAAATTTTAGTGAGAAATTTGGCATTGTTTTCATCTTTGCAAATCTTTTTAAATGTCTGGCTTAATAGGAGACAGCTGGATTCTCATGTCTCCTCCTGCCTTCAGTCTGTTGTGGTTATCACACATCTTGGAGCCACTGGATAACTCCCATGTGCCTCCTGAGGGAATGAGAGTGAAAAGAGCAAATGAAATCGTTCCAGCCTCACAGATCCCCCCGGACCCCCCAAAAACAGGGAATCCCTGGATCACATTTGGAGAGCACTTGCTTCAGACCAGTGATTTTTAACCTTCATCTCATGGCACATAAACTAGTTACTAAATTCTGCAGCACACCAAAAAATATATTTTTTGGCACTGTGACAAAAAAAAAAGAATTGGTATAATTTTGATTGGTTCACTCCAGATGGCTATTGTTGTGTCGGCTGTTACCATTTTTTAATTTGATAATCTGAGGGAAAAGAGGTCAGTGCCCCTGACTAAACAGTCATGTATTGCATGTTTTAAAAATTCTTTTGACACATCAGCTGAAAATTACTGCTTTAGACCAATAAACTAGCACACCATCTGAACATAATGGTTTTAAAAGAATATTGAATGCCTAAGTATCACTTTCTTAGAAACATGACTAAGAGAAAGGTTTGTCAGTAAGGGAGTTTTGTACAAAGTACCTTTAATATGTTTTTTAAGAAACTTGGAAAAGCCCTCATGGATTTTTAGGTACTCCTTTAGATAGGGAACTAAAACATTTTTAAAAACTTGTGTGGTTTTAAGGCTTACGGGGTTCTCTTTGTACAGAGTATGTTTTAGTCAATTAAGTTGTTTCACTCACCCCATTCCTTTCATTATTTTGCACATGTAGCTGAAGCTTCTTTAGAAAGTACTCCTGGACAACCTCAACTGTTAAAATGTTGCCTTTGTTCTGAACTATGGCACTTACATGTATAACTACCTTTTTACATGTTGTATTATTTACTTTTAATTTGTGCCTTCTGTTGGTGGAAAAATCCAGGTCAAGAGACATTATCCCATGTCTTTTTTATGTCCTCAATATGCATAGCCTCAATTTTTTTTAATGATGTATTAGATTTTTTAAATGCCTATTGATAACAGCCAATATGCCTTCTGACTCACAGTGTATTGCACAACTCTTTATTCACTCAAATATCATTTCTGTTCATGGTTCTGTTCATGTCTGGTCCACATGAATAGAAACTGTGGCTTTTTTTTATTCCCTTGGGTATAATCAAATTGTATATGCTAATGATGTAATAGTTACCATTAAGTTAGAAGTATGTCTGATTTTATTTTTTTTGCTATTATATGCTGTTTAAAAGCTTAGTATATTAAAAATGAATGTATATTAAAAGTTTACTTAGGTGTGACAGCTTAGAATTTACAGTATCCTAGATTGTTGAATTTCCCAAGAATTTGAGTACCTAATCTATTTTTCTTTCAACTGAGAGGTCTGATGTTTTGTTGTATTTACATATATATTTTAACACAATTCTATTATCTTTCCAGCTGTGGATTTCTTCAACCAGATTAACATGTTATATGGAACTATTACAGAATTCTGCACTGAAGCAAGCTGTCCAGTCATGTCTGCAGGTCCAAGGTACAGGTTACTCCTTTTTATATAGGTCTTTGGATTACTAAGTAAAGACAATCACTAGTTGATAGAAATTAAATAATATTTTTTTGTTTTTCTTGTCTGCCTGTGTAAAAGCAGTTCAATATTACAAATTTTTGAATGCTTACCTATAAGCTTTTAGTTATTACTAAATACTTTGCCATTTGGTCCTTAGTGTTTGATTTTGTAATTGCATTATAGTAAGGTCAATGTTGAATTGGAGGAATAAAAGAAAAAAAATTAGAATTTTATTAACATTATGGTTCTTTTTATGGTTTTTAAAATAATTTCTTGAAATCAGGTATGTAGTTGACTCTAATATTTGATTCTTTTTTGTATGTGCTTATTTGGTGTTAATTACTTCTAAATTTTGCTGCTTTAGCAATCTGGCTTAAAGATGCTAGATTTTAAAATTTTGCCTATAATAAATTTCAAGAAATATTGAGAAATAGATGGAACTCTTTGTCACCCATAATGTTTCAAGGTGTGATGATGTGTGATTTAGGTTTTTCCTTCCAGTCTTTTCACTATAGTGAATGATTGATTTTATGTGATGATAGATGGTATTAAGATATTTATTTACCTTGGGGGGAAAACTTATCTTTTCTAAATTTGCTACAGGTATAAAGGATACATAGATCCCCAGTGAGTTCATAGTCATATTTTTATTACAGTGTTTTAGGAGGGATGTTTTTATTTTGTGTTTTAAATTTTAGTTCTCAAATTTCTTTAAAAGAAATTTAAGTAAAATGAATAGGAAAACTAAACTTATCTATGGCTTAAATGCTTTATACAGTGAAGTTCTCTGGAAGTCTTGTTAATCACTCTAGCTCAGCAAAGGTGAGGGTGCAAAAGATGCATGCTTAAAGATGTTTCTTTAACACCCTTTCCAAGAAATGGGTTTTTATAATCTTGACCTGTTGGTGATAACTTGGTGGCCAAGGATCTCAGAATGTGGTGATCCATCAGTCCCTTCCCCAGTCCACAGCACCTTCTGCCTGACAGTCAGGAATGAAGTTCTTTTATCTTTCCCAGGGTTGTGTTATATTCTAGCACTGCCAACTGCCACATTATCTTCTCTTTTTCTTCCAGTCATAACCATCGCATTTCAAAATAATTCTATATAGGAAACTCAATAATCTTCAGTAGAAGTTTAGTTAATTTACTAAAGTTTTATATATATATATATATATATATATATATATATAAAATATATATAACTTTATATAACTTGTGTTGACAAAGTGTGAACCTACTTTGATTACAGTTTGCACATTTGTTAATGTGAAAACTTTATCCATAATACCTTTTCCTCTTCAGATACGAGTATCATTGGGCAGATGGTACTAATATTAAAAAGCCAATCAAATGTTCTGCACCAAAATACATTGACTATTTGATGACTTGGGTTCAAGATCAACTTGATGATGAAACTCTTTTTCCTTCTAAGATTGGTGAGTTAATGTTGTAGAACTGTTTTCTTTTTTGGTGATAAATGTGTACTTTTAAAAAAAAATTATTTTTAGAGAGCGGGGAAGGAAAGGAGAAAGAGACGGAGAGAAACATCAATGTGTGGTTGTCTCTCATGCAGTCCTACTGGGGACCTGGCCTACAACCTAGGCATGTGCCCTGACTGGGAATCAAACCAGCAACCCTTTGGCTCACAGGCCAGCACTCAGACCACTGAGCCACACCAGCCAGGGCTAAATGTGTGCTTTTTAACTCTCTATTCCTTTAAAAAAGAAAAAAAAGTAACAGGGACTGCCAAATTTCTTTCCAAAAAGATTATAAATGTGTACTTCTTCCAGACACGTTTGTGTCTGTGTTCCTTTACCAGGACTGGTTGTTACTCATTTTTAAATTTTTATAATTTGTGTAAATAAATTTGTTTTAAGGTACATTTTTAAGATATTGATGAGAGTGAGCATTTTACTGTTCTACCGATCATTGTGTGTTTTCTCTATATCCTTTGGATGTTAAGGATACTTGCTTTTTTATCAGAAATGCTTTATGTATTTTTACCCAGGTTGCCTTTTGTCTTAAATGTATTCATGAAGCGTTTTTGCTATTATATATAACTTTCTTATTTTGTCTTATTAATCTTCTTTTTAATGACATCTGGATTTTAATCAATGATTAGAAAGGTTTTCCCTGCTCCAGTATTAAAAGAATATTTGTCTTGTGTTTTCATTTAGTACTTTTGTGATTTGTTTTTACATTTTAGTCTTTGCTTGGTCAGGAATTTTTTTCTTACTCTGCCCTTCATTTTTTCCCCCCAATTATAAATACTAGTCAGGTTGTCCAGTTTGATAAGGCTACTTATCAAACACATGAGTCTTTTCTCCCCTGATTATGAAGTTGCCATATATTTTGGAGTCTTTTAATCTCTGTCTGTTCCTATAGAAATTCCACAGTTTTAATTAACCATGGCTGCATATCTTTGAGCATCTTGTAGGGCTAGTCTCTCTTCCTTGCTCTTTTCAGAATATTCATGACTATTTTAGGATATTTGTCCTTCCAAAGAACTTGCAATCATTTTTTTCAAGGTAAAAAAACAAAAAACAAAAAATTTTTATTATGATTTCATTCAATTTGTAGATTAATACAGGGATTCTTGTTTTCTTGACAATACTGAGTTTTCCTATCCAAGAACAAGGTATATTCTTCATTTTTTTAAGTCTCTTACTTATTATTTCCTCTTGTAAAATTCTATAGTTTACTTTATGCTAATACTTCAAGTTTCTTAGGTTTATTTGTAGGCATTTAATGTTTTTTATAGATACTTGGTTTCCATCTGGTTAATGTTTAGTATGTAGAAAAGCTGTTGATTTTTATATAAACTTTATAATTGATCGTCAGATTTTGAATGTTTCTGTTGTTTTGGGTTTGTTTTCTTGTGTTTTTAAAGCATACAGTTCCATTATATTAAGATAATAGTGATGTTGCTTCTTTCTCCTAATGTATACTTCTTGTGTAACTCTTTCCTAATTGTACTTACCAACTAGTACTTCCAGAGCATTGCTGACTAATGGCGATAATGGCAAACATCCTTTTCTCATTTCCTTTTATGAGTACGTCTAGTACTTAGCATTAAGCAGGAATCTTACTTTATACATTTTTTTAAGTGAGGTGTATGGTTGTAGAGTTTTATCAGCTACTTTTCCAGTATGTGTTGTTGATAGCCATAAGTTTTTCTCCATTATTTTTTTCTATGTTTGCCTGAAAGACTGTTTTTTATTTGCTGATATTTTGAATAAGATTTTGGAATTGGTATTTATTAATGAGTTTGAGACTTGTCATTTTTAGTGTAAGGGTGTCTTATGAACAACATATTGTTGTATCCTGTCTTATCTGTTTGGGCTGCTGTAACAAAAATGCCAGAGAGAGGCTGGCATATAAACAAGAGAAATTTATTTCTCAAAGTTTTAAAGGCTGCAAGTCTGCAATCGAGATGTCAGCATGTTTGGGTTCTGGGGGAGTTTCACTTCCAGGCTGCAGATTGCCAGCCTCTCACCTGTCCTCACATAGTGGAAGGGTAACTCTTTGGGGCCTCTTTTTATAAGGGCATTACTCCCATTCATGAGGGATCTGCCCTCGTGACCTAATCACCTCCCAAAAGCTCCATTTACTAGTGATACCACACAGGAGGTTAGGACTTCAACATACGGATTTTGCCAGGGGACGGAGGGGTGCACTGACACAAATATTCAGATCATAGCAGATTCCTTTTTTGAAGTCTAATTAAAGGTTTTTTTCAGGAGAAAAAGTTATATCATGTTACACTTGGTCTGTTTGCTACTAGTCAGTTTTTCCATTCTATTATTAAGCATTTTATTTCCTTTCTCATAGATTCATTGTTGTATATTGACTGTGATTGAATGTTTCTGTTAAATTCAGCATGGAAGGTGCTTAGCTTAAAACAAATTATATTTCTTTATTCATTAAAGTTTTCCTCTCATGGAAGATAAAGAATAGTTTTGCCTTAATTCTCTTTTCTCTGTGTCCCACTCATCAATAATTTATTCCGATGTTCTAGAATTCTTTCTCCTCTCATTAAGCTATTATCTACATCTTACTTAAGCCAATTATATACTCATGTTAGACAAAATTTATTGTTCATTTTTAAACTAGTATATCCAAGTTATCACTGTTCCTTTTATTAGCAAGACATCCATTTGTAAATTCTGAGAGAAAAGGAGTTTGACATAAAAATCCATCTTTCAGTACGTGAATAGAAGCCCTATTTCACAAAAACATACCCATATATACTCCAGAATAATGCTTGAAAGGGGGGGAATCCCCCACAAAAATAAGTTTACAAAGGCAAAATATACCAAATTTCAAGCTACTAAGGACTAATTGAGAAAATGCAGGGAAAGAGAAAGTGTTTTAGCTTTTGTCCTCGTAAGGATAAAAGAAAGAAAATGTTTCAGGAGTAATGTTCTGGAACAGACCTTTAAGGGCAGCTAATCTAGGTGATTCTGGAAGCAGATACATTCTTAGGTGTTCATTTACTGTATTCCGTGCCAGTTGTATTGTTTTTCTCCTATCCCTACCTTCTAAGAGACTTTGGTCTTGTCAGCCAAAATACTCAGGAAGTAACCAGTTGCATCCCTACCTGCACTGCTTGGAGAGACATGACCAAACCCTTCCCCATTTCTTTTCTAAGAAGGTGTTTATTTTCTTTGAAAAATAGAGATATGCCCTTCTTTGCTTTTTCAGGAAGTCTGTTCCTTCTTAGACTGTAGAAAAATGAAAATTTTAAAAATAAAAGTTTGTAACTTCTAGTTTAAGAAAACTGTCTTTTCAAGAATAATTCAGAAGATAAAATGCTTGTAAATGGTAGATTATGATCACTTGAAGTGAAATGTGCCTTTTTTTCCCTTTTGCTTAGAAGAGTTTCCAGTCTTAGTTGAGTGTAAAAAAAGTTTTTTAGAGTTACAGATTACAAAAAGTAAAAATTTTCTGTTTACAGTCAAAATGTTTATTCTTGTGGCATTTAATCTTACAAAGAAACTCTTCAATATTAAACTACTAAAATTAGTTTTATTTTAACTTTGATTCAGTAACTTCTTATATATAACTTCTGATACCTGTGACCTGCTATTCTAAGGCAGTCAGAAAAAGTGGTATGTGAATATATCTCATATACTTAGGTTTGGGATTCTTTTTTCCCTTGCCTTTTAAAAAAATATATGGCAGTAGACTTGAATTTGTGAATGTGTATGTTTATCAGAGTTGTTCATGGCCATATCTAAAGCTTCTGCTGTTCAATTGGATAAAGACTAATGATATGTATATTTTTTATAGGTGTCCCATTTCCCAAAAACTTTATGTCTGTGGCAAAGACCATTCTAAAGCGTCTATTCAGGGTGTATGCCCATATTTATCACCAGCACTTTGATTCTGTGATGCAGCTGCAAGAGGAGGCCCACCTCAACACCTCCTTTAAGCACTTTATTTTCTTTGTTCAGGTAAGTTGAACCATGTTGATTTCTGTCTCCTTTGACTTCGACATACTTAGCTTGGTAACTTTAATAAAGACCAATTTATAGAGTCTTATTTATAGATATAAAGCTAACTTTAAGCAGGGCTCTCTTTGCCACATTGTTTATTTCATTGATGTGTTTAGCAGCATAGAAAGCATCACCTCCATTTTGGCTTTTTGCCTCTGACTGCCCAGGTCTCTGGTTAGGATATGACAAAGAGCACCAAAAATTCAAGAAACTTGTCCATACCCTTCTGTTCCACCACTGCTGGGTGGGAGGACACTGAGAAATGTCTGAAGTAGGATTGTTTCATGAGATGTTTATGCCTGGAAGAGAAACTTGTGGAAGAACTTGTTACCTGCTGTCTTGGGTTCAGTTTCCAAAAGTCCCACCACCTAAGGCCAAAGCTTGTGCAGGCAGCAGCTAGAAACTTCAAAAAAGCCTACTGCCTTCAGAAATGTGACTCATTTCCTTATGAACCCTTAGTTGGAATTGAAACTGTGTAAAGATCAGTATAATTCACATTGTTTGAAAAAGATATTAAAGAATTGGTGCTCCTTTAGCCTCACTTTAGAGATAGTGGAATTCTGTTTGGGTTGGCCAAAAAGTCTATTAAGTTTTTTCCATAAAATAAAAGACATATTTTTCATTTTCACCAATAACTTTATTGATTTGGATATTTTGAGTATGTCAGCTATCTCCCACTATTGGCTTCTAGTGAGTGGAGATCAGGGGTGCTTCTAAACATCTTCCAATGCGTAAGACAGCCTTACAGCAAAGAATTATTTGGCCAAAATGTCAATAGTACCAAGAAACTTCACACACCACTCTTGACATGCTGGATCCAGTCACAGCACTTTCTCCATACACTGCACAAATCTTGTATTTCACGTGCATTTTTACTTTTCTTGAAATAATAAAGCATAATACACTAAAAATGTTGTGTATCTTCTACCATCTTCAGTATTAAAATGGCTGCACAAAAATTCACCAATTTTGCTAAGTTGTTTATTTAATGTACCTTGATAACGTCAGCTGTCACAATACAATCTAACAAAAACTGTTTTGAATGAAGTTAAAGACAGCTAAGGGTGTGAGAGCTGTTACACAGAAGAAATGTTAACGGATATTTTGGCCAACCCAATATATGCAAACTATAAATATGTCCAGATATTATTTTTTGGTGGAAAAACCAGCAGCTCCATAGTCGATATCGTGTATTAGACAGTTCTATGGATCATACAAAGGAGGTGGTACTGTGCTCTTCTCTATTTTCCTTCTGAGATTGTTGCTTGGCATAGACCTACAGTATAGCTGTAGGTAGATATATATATCTATAGAGATATATATAGATATAGATATGTAAATAAATAAATAAAGGTCTACTGCCCCAGAGGTGGCCACTACCAAAGGTTCAGTATACAGTTTTCAGATAATTTCTGTGTAAATGGAAACATACTCAGTTTTGATTTTAATGTTTTACACAGTGAACATCATGCTATTATGTACAGTTGCTTATTTAATAAGTCCCCTGTATTTTAAAAAGGAGTAAAAAATGATTTCATTTTAAAATATTCACAGAGCCCATTTCATCATTCTTTTGGATTTCAGAAAACTAGGATTGGGAATACCTTCTCTGAATGACATGTACATAATTTTATTTTTAACTCTATTTTAAAATTTTATTTTTCTTCTCTTTTTAGGAGTTTAATCTGATCGATAGGCGTGAGTTGGCACCTCTTCAGGAATTAATTGAAAAGCTTGGATCAAAAGACAGATAAATGTTTCTTCTAGAACACAGTTACTCTCTTGCTTCATCTTCTGCTAGAGCTATATCATTGCTATCTATTAGAGACTAGTGATACAGACTTTAAAAAAAAACAGGATATAAAGACCTGTTGGCTGCATCTACTGATAAAATTGTCCCAAAGGTAGGTTGACCTAATATCTTCAGAGTGAGAAATTCAGGACGCAGCCAAATCTGAGGCACTCTGTGACCACTCCTGTTACTGTCACTGAGTTACACTTGGTTTTAACATGTGGATTCTTTTACTAAAGAAAATGATTTAGTCTGTTTCAGGTTACAGCATAATGGATACTAAGAATTTCCACCAATAATTTATTAGCAAGTTTCCACAACAGATTTCCTCAAAACTCAGATCAGTTTTATTCCGCTTTTATTTTATAAATAGAAGAGGTATTTTCAAGTTTCCTAAAGATTTAGAACATTTGTGTCCCTTTGGATAACCTTTTAGTTTGAAGTTGTATACTAGTGTTTTTATAGATAATACATATATGTATATTTTTTCAAAATCCATGATTGCAATTTAAATTGTTATAACATGTATGGGAGTAACCAAAGTTATTTCTAAAGTGATTTTATTTTTTAATCTGTTTTTGGGACTTTATTCACATATGAACATATCTAAATGTTTCCTAGCTCCTAGTATGTATGTATCAGAAATAATTTTTTGAGAGCATCTAAAGGTGGTTTTGTAGATTTTTTTAGAATGCTTCATTCAGATTAATTTGAACATGTAACTTTTGGCTGACAAAAGGCAAACTTCCAAAAAATTATGACAAATTTAGGTCTCAAACCACTATTTTCATTCACGTTGTCTTTCAGAGGCCTTGAAAATCTGGCTAGGAGAATGGAAGAAAAGTACTCAGATTACTTGATTGTTTTGTTTTGAGTTTCCTTTTTTAAATAATTCTATATGTTTTTATTGTGGCTTGAGACTTAGTGAAGAGTGCTATAGAAATGCACCAACTTTATCCCAATAAGGATTAAACTTAAGGAAAACCACAATAAAAAACCTTGAAAGGTGTACACATTTTATAACACAGCCCAAAGTTTGGTGTGTCACCGGTTCTTGCCTGTGTATATTTGTGTGTGTGCGTGTGTTTAAATGAGAAAAAAAATAGGAGGAATAAGTGAAAAAAAAAACCTTCATTCTGTTAATAACAAAGAATGGATTGAGCCCTGATAGGGGTTTTATCCTGTTAATTGTTTTTGTATCAAAACTTGAAATTATTCTGTTTCTATTCAAGTAAAAATCTTCCCTGTTAGCGAGGAACAGATTTGATTTTCATTAGGTTTATAGGATTTAGTAAATGCTGTGTAAATGTATTGAGGCACAGGTGCACTAAAGACTTGCCAGACTGGCACCACTTTAAGTTTATCATCCTGTTTCAGAGTTGTGACTTTTGCAAAGTACTCACCAACCTCTTGAGGGTTTGGCAAAGGTTAGTTTTGATAGGGTTTTTGTTATTTTTTTATTATTCCACTGGAGTATAAAGGAAAGAGTTGCTTAGACACGCCATTTTTGTAACTCAATTTCAGTAAAGTAGCAAATATATACATAATTTTAAAGGAAACAAAACATTTCATCTTATTTAGGCAGAAATCATATCTCGTTTCAGAAATTAAAGATTGGGATAATCACATACAAAATAAAAGAAAAGCCTTCTGTAAGACATTTGCAAACTACATTTTAAGTTTATTCAGAGGTCCCTGTTAGGTGAGCTGTATGTTTATGTTGATCATTCACAACCAAGAAAGCAGGTTTCTAGGTGCCACTGAGAATGTTACTTCCTCTCTCAATGGCTTTAATTAAGCCTGCAAGGAATAAAATTAGATTTCTCAACCAGGGTTGTACTTTCATTATCATCTCTAATATTTCAAATATTCTCAAACAAGAGAGTTCTCACTTTTCTCCATTTATTTTCAGTGCTAGAAGTCCTCCCTCTCTTCTTGATTCAGCCTCAAAATGAACCAAAGATGGTCACATTACAATACTGTAAAGGCAGTTTATTAATGACTCAAATACAATTGTTGGTAATTTGAGAATCAGAATGTCCTTTTTAAAAAATAAAAACATCACCAGGTTCCCGTGCTAATCTGGCTTAACCAACAGTGCACCTGAACTTCAGTGTTAGTATTGTTTGTTTACATCCAAGGCCAGGGAGTTGAGGGCAGGAGAGCTGGAGGAATGGGGAGAGGGTGGCCCCTTCCTGACTTGACTAGAGGGCCAGCTTTTGAAGAGTTGGAAGAAATCAGCCTGTCTTTGACTCCTCTTACTTTTGATTTATCTCCCTGTGCCCAGGATCTGCCTGTTTGACAGCTCTCCCTACCCTGACCCCCTCCCAATCACTAGTCATCTCTGGGTGTCCGATCTACTCCTCCTGCCTGGTAACAATCATGGGGTGGAGAGTGCTTTGTAAATTATGCAGTTAATCCTTTGGTGCTTTTATTTCCAGGCCTTTACAAAAACTTTTGGACAATGATGTGCATACTGCAGTTTTTGTATTGACAGCCAAATGTATCCTTTATTCTCCAGACTGAATAAAGTGATTTTAGAGGGCCACACGCTAACCAAGTATTTCCTTTCAAAAATTTGTAGAGTCCTAGCTCACCTGGCTGCAAGCTCAAGATATGCAAATGAGTAGTCATCAGGACTCTGATAACAACTAAAGGAAAGTTGTCCTAGTAGTGTGAGGCAAGAGGAGGAATCCTGCTGGTGATTCTAACTTTTGCAAACATTGCTGAGGTTTCCTGGTTATACTGTTGGCCTTTGTCTGAATAGTGAGGTTATGCTAGAAGTGGAGCTTCGATACTTAACATTATTACCTCAGAAGCATAAAAAACCAGGCCCAAAGAATGTAAGTCCCAGAAATTTGTTTCCAGGCAGCCCCAGTTATGGCACTGGTGTTACCTCTGCCTGGTTAGAGGAGCCTGTCTCTTGGCTGTAGCCAAAAAATACGGCTGGGACACCAAACTGAGCACCTTCCACCAGGATATTATTTCCTCCTGATACCTGCTCAATACGTGGATTTACTATTGTAGAATTCTGGCACAATACTGAGGGAAAATAGTCCCCCAGTCTTTCTGTGTTTCTGCATCATTTTGATATTAAAGACTGTAAAAGCCTTTGGGGGGATATTATATGTGATAGCAGTTAATTTTATTGAAGCAACTGCATTGAAATTGACTTGGGTTTTTTCTCTCATCAGATTCTATTCCAAACAAGTATTCTGTAAATCCAAATGGATTGCCAGTGTGCTATAGGTTATAGAACATTCTATGTTTGGTCTATATAGAAAAATAGCTTGCATAAGTTAGTCTTGGTTACCATCTAAAATATTTTTAAATGTTCTTTACAAAAAAATTTATGTTGTATTTTTAAACCTTTCGGGGCTTTATCTATTTTTCTAAGTCAGTTAACTGTACTTTAAAAAGAAGTATTTTGTATCTACTTTTGTAACTTCATCAGAATAAAATATATTGAAAGAAAGAAATGACTAAAGTCTATGTCTCAACACGCTTATTTTTGAAACTTGATAACTTTGCAGCTTCTGTAGAAGGTTGTCTTTGTTATCATTTAGTAATTAAAATTTTTTCTTAACTCTTAGAAATAGGGGTGCAGTGGCTAAAACTCATCCTGGGGAAACAATTAGTCTCCAAGCTCTTGACCTCTTGTACTTTCCTGGTTCTGAGACAGGAAAGGGAAGAGGAGAGACTGGGTTCCTTAATTTTCTGGTGTTGAAACTGAGTACTCAGCATTATCTGAAAGACAACCCCCCTCCTCCCAGTGAGTGATTTTTCAATATTGGAGAACTATTAGAACTAACTTTTAGGTCTATTCAAAATAGCTTTGACCTATTGAAAAGGTCAAATAGTTTTGACCTTTTTTGAATAGAGTTAAAATTAAAAAATGAGTGTGACTAAATAATATGGGGTAACACTCATTGTCTAAGATACGGGTAAAAACTAGTCAGTTTTGGATTTTGGGAGACAGTTCTTTTTTATTAGGCTTAAAATTGACCACAAAAATATTGTTTGTATGGATGTCTAAGGGTTAAATTTGAAAGTTATTTCAACCTTTATAAATGAGTAGTATAAATAATGTTTGGAAAGGCAGGAGTCAGGCTTCAAAGCTGCACAGCAAAAACTATGTCCAAATCCATGCCTTGATCCTTTTCCAGCAAAGAAATACCCCATCGCTGTAGGGCTCAATGTGGGCACACAGCCTGCACCCTTATCGCTGACCACTAGATGTCAGTCTGTGGACTCCCAAAAGCTAGATACGTGTGTCTTGACCAGAATGAAGGATTTTACCTAAAAAACTTAACACAGATTCCTTTGATTGACAGTTCCTAGATCACATACCTCAGTCCTGGCTGCAAGAGAGACTGGGGGAAAGTTTCTGGTTTTACTTAAGGGTTCAGAGTTTATAGCAACATTATTTAAAAGATCTGGATGGTCCAAAAGCTTGGACTGGCTGCTGCTCTGTGAAAAGATAAAGGGTTTTCACCAGAATGTAAGTATCCGAGCACACTGTTTAGCTCACCTGACATTTTTTTGTAGCATATTTGCTAAATGAAGGAAGTAGATTACTGTTTCCAGTTCAGGCCAAGCTTATCTTGTGGCTGACCATCACTTTGATTACCAGTTCCTTAGAGGAACCTACCTGTTTTAGGGCAGTCCTTCAGCGGGCTATCACATTAACCCTTAGAGCAGCCTGGGGAAGGGGTTGGCAATTGAGATGTATGTTAGGACTTTTTCAGTGTCACAAAAGCTCAGACTTCAAATAGCTCTTTCATAGTGAGGTAAGTCTCTTTTCCTCTAAATTGCATTTTTTCAAAATTCTGTGTTCAAAATGCTAGGAGGCTCTATAAAATGGCTGCAGTTAATTTTTTACTGATAAGGTATAAAAGGTGTATTCAAAGATATCCTACCTAAGGAGTTTTCTGCAGTCAGCTCAGATGTAAATGTAGCTATGAAAGCTGGGAGTGGTCATGGACCGACATGAGTGAAGGTAAGAGAATCTCAAGTTCAGAACAAAAATTAAAGTGCAGAAGAGAGAGACCTGGGACTAAAGGCATTATACTTAGAATGAAACTAGCCTTTTATTTGCAGCTGTCATAAAAAAGAAAAATCACCCTTTAACTGTTAATTAATTTAACAGTTTAATTAATTTGGAAGCCCAAGATTGGTGAGGTGGTTCTATAAATCCTTTTCTGAAAATGTTCAGATTTGCTGTGGAACCAGAATTGTTAAACCACTGTCAGTTATGTTCAGTAATTACAATGCATACACTTTTTGTCTCATACCATCCTGGGCCATTGATTATACAATAAGTGAATAAAACAAGATCCTTTCATGGAGCTTATGGGCCAGTGGGAGAGAAACATACATAGTACTAAAGGCCTGTATGTGCAATAAAAGTTATATACAAGTTGTGGGCCCTTAAGTTTACTGAGGGGCAGTCAGAGGTGGCTCTCTGGAGAAGAAAGGCTTGAATTGGCGTAAAAGATGGGTAAGTGCATAATCAAACTTGTAGCATAGCTTGTACAAGGAGGTACAAGCAGTCATTAGCAAAGGGTAGATTTCAGGTAGGTAGGAGATAAGTCATATGGAAGAACTTGGGTTTTGCCTGTAGATGATGGGGAGTCAAGGATTTTAAGCAAATAATGGACAGATTTTCATCTCAGATGGTGCTGATAGCAGTGTGGAAAAGCAGGGGAGAATACTAGGGCAAAGTAGTCCAAAGTAACAGGTCATGCGAGCACTTGTTAAATTATGGGAAGAACTTTGGAGATAAGTAGTGATTTTCAATAAAGGAAAGAAGAAATTCTGCAAATACAAATCAGTGACTTTAACATGGGTCTCTTAGTTACAAGTGACAAACTACATGTACACAAAAATATAAACAGACATTTCAAAATGAAGCTGTATCTGCCATGCCAGGGGAACTGCCTTGCATGCCTTACAACTCAAACCTTGGAATAATGGATTGGGCCTAAGCAACCTTGTTTCCCAAAGAACTGTTTGCAAAGATAACAAAACAGCTGTTAGGACTACTGGACTGAAAATTAAAAACACTTAAAAATAAACATCACTAAGGTATCTGCACCAATAGAAATGCTTCCTTCTATTGATGTAATTGTTCCCTTTCCTTTCTCATAAATACTCATTGCCTTTGTTGCCTAATCAGAACATTATCTGTGGGCTTCTACCTGAATAATTTGCAAATACCTATTCTTACTGATCTCAGACAAACACTTGTTTGCTTCTCATTTTGAAAGTTCTTTTTATTTTTAAGTTAGCCAACTAAAAGAACTTTAGTACTCATCTGGCACTGCTGGTTTCCAGTTGCACAAGTAATGTCAAACTTGTCTCCTCTCCGCTCTGCTTGCTTCTGTATCTGCTTCATTTCCAAAGTGGCTCTGCCACAAGAGTTGCAAAGACTGCCGCCAGCAGTAGGCTTTCTACCAGGTTGGCAATCCAGTTGGAAATAATCTTTAGTTAATTAAAGATTAATAATATAGAAAATTCCCTCAGCCATTTCTCATTGTGACCAACCCTAAACCAATCCTTGTGTCTGACTGGACAGACCTGGGTCTAGTGATCACTCCTCACCTGAACTATGTGGCTTGAGTTGCAAAGGGGTGGTTCACCACTACACCAATAGATAAAATATTTTTGGCAGTTTTTATTATATTGTTGACATCAGTGAAAAAAAAAGTCCTTGATACTCGAAACATAATTTTTAAGCAGTCAACAAAAAAATGTTAGAGGCTATTGCAGTAATTCAAAGAAGAATTTAATGAGACCCAAGACATAGGAGTCACTCGATTAATACTGGAATGAATGAGCATAGCTGAGCACTTCAAACAGATATAGTCTGACTGGTGTGGCCCAATGGGTTGGGCCTCGTCCAGCAAACAGAAAGGTCACGGGTTGATCCCCGGTGAGGGCACAAGCCTGAGTTGTGTGCCAGGTCCCCATTTGGGGGAGGGCGAGAGGGAACCCATCCGTTGTTTCTCTCTCATGAAGATGTTTCTGTGTCCCTCTTTTTGACTCCCTCCCTTCCTCTCTCTAAAAATAAATAAATAAAATCTTTTTAAAAACAACCACCAAAAAACTGTAGGTCTGACCAACCCATTCATTTGAAACGCAGGTTATTGCTTGGATAGGCGGAATTAAATAGTAAAAAGAACTGGTAAAGGCTACAGTATATACGAGACTACGTGCTGCAAACAAATACAGCTAGAGAAAGGGCTTGGTAGAATTTTCGCCTTAACTTCTGTCTGATGTACTCCAGAGGCCGGGCAGTTTTTTGTTTTTGTTTTTGTTTTTTGTTTTTTTCCGACAATCATACCTCCTGCTGTCAGCTTCCACTACATTCTTGGGACTCCACGGCCGGTGGAGCCTACGCCTCTGGTGGGCTGTGTCGCGCAGGTACCTTAAACTCAGGCAAGTCCAAAGCTGAATTTGTCGCTCCCCCTCACGCCCAGCGTGTTCCTCCTCATTTCATTGTTCAAGCCGGACACTTGGGAATCATCCCAGACGCTTTCCTCATCCCTAATCCAGTCGCTGCATTCCATTCACCTCCCAAATATCTCGATCCACTCCTCCTTCCCCTGCTGCCGCTACTCTAGTTCGGTCTCAAGTTTCATCTCGATTGAGAGCTTCCCTCCTCAGTTCCAATCCAGCCCTTTACAGTCCTTCGCAGGAGCCAAGTTGACTTTCCTAAAACGCAAACCTGAAAACGACATCCCTGCTTAGAGTCCTCCCTCGGCTCCCCTTTTCTAGAGGAAGAAACCCAAACTCCTCAGTTGAAAAGCCAGGTTGCGGGGCGGGGGCTGGGGGTGGGGTGTAGTGAAGTTCCGCCGGGACACGAGGGGCACTGGGCTGAAGGTAAGGCAGAAAGGAAGGTCGCTGAGTAGTGTTTCTAGGCTGAGGGGGATGGACCCGCTGGTGGAACAATGCCGAAGGGAGGGTGTCGGAGCGCCGCGAAAGCGCGGGGCAAGGTGGGGCTCTGAGCGGGCGGTGCGACTTGTTCGAAGTGGCGTGCTTGGGACACTGACCTGCCCCTGCGGAAGGTGGGGCGGACGGCCCGCGGCCTCCGGGCGGCAGGGGGCGGCCTTGCCCACCGCGGCGGCTTTCGGTCCCGGGCTCCGCGCCTTTCGGAAGACGCGGCGGCCTCGGGCGGCGGGTCGCGTCGGCCGGGTATGGCGGCGTGGAGCCCGGCCGCGGCAGCGATTTTGCTCCGCCGGATCCGCGGGGTGAGCACGCCCCGGGGCGGGAGCTGCGGAGGGCCCGCGTGGCCGGGGCAGGGGGCTCCCCGTCCTTTCTGTCATTCATTCATTCCTTGGTTCGTTCATTCAGTGGGCTGGGGCAACCGGCATTGGAGAAGTGTCAGGGCCTGTAGCGCTGGGGGTCCTCCCGAGCTGGGTGGAGGTCGGCCGAGGGAAACAGACACCTTAACAGCCGTAATATAGCCGGCACGGGCAGGCAGCG